ACCAAAAAAATGTAACTTCGTTACCGTTACAGTTACCAAAGAAAAAAAGTAACGCAGTTACTAGTAAAGTTACCAAAAAAGTAACTTGTAACTGTAACTTCGTTACAAGTAACGAGTTACTTCCATTCCCTGTGCGTCAGTATATAAATAATTTTATAAAAGCTGTTCGTTGTGATTTTGCTATCTTTAATGCTGATTCTACAATGAGTCAGTAGTCGAAAGTCTTAGTCTTAATCAGTGAAGTTGGCCAATCAGCGTTAGTCATACAAGTTGACTATTGGTCAACTTCACTGATAAGACTTAGGTCTATCGATTACTCATTGTAGAATCAGTATAATATATATATTAATCCAGAATAACTATTCAAGATATTAAAATATTAGTTAAACTTAATTCCTGCCATTTTTCGTCTCCAAAATTGATTTGTTTCGAAGGGAAGATGAATGAATACCTCAATCAAAGTAATTTCCTTCATTTTTTACTTTATTATTAATTAATAATACTTTATTAATAATACTTTGATTAAGGTATTTCTCTTCGAAACAAATCAATTTTGAAGACAAAAAACGGCAGAAATTAAGTTTAACACCTAATACATCGAACATAAATGACTGGATACTCTTTGTTCATTGTTGTACCATGTGCTGTTCCACTATCGCTAATTTTTTTTTGTTTTTATTTTGATTTCTCACTTTTTTCGAATCATTTGCTTTATTTTCAAGATCAACTCTAGTTCTCGAGCGGATGCCAGGTCCCCAATTTGCAGTAGGGTTCTGTTGAAAGCGAGACAAATGCCTTTGCCGAGAAATTGGATTGGCAAGAGGATGCATAGTGAGAGAGATATCCATCGTGGATGATGCATTAAGTATTCGCGCAGCTGGACTATCCTCAGTCAGTTTCTCCCGTTTTACAGGGTGTTTTTTCTCCCAGGCACGCACAATATCCCATATAACATCATTTGGCGCATCCGTTTTGATAGAAATTTTACTTGCATGCGAATACGATACCTTGTATCCCGCGTTTAATAATGCTGACCTGAACATCAACATTGGTGGAACATGACACCTAACTATAGACATCAAACGATCTAGATTATAATACAAAGGAATGTCTAATTCTTCATGTATCACGGTCAGGACACCTTCCATTCTTTTCGATGTACCCAACTCCATGCTATTCAAGTTGCATAATAATTGCGACACAAATCCGTGATCGTGTAAAGGACCTAGCCATATTGGACCACCCATGTGTTGCCTGTGTTGACAATGTTTACACAATTGATCTATTACGGGTGCACTTGGTAATTTGTAATTCTTGGCAGCCTTCCTCACCACTAATGATTGAAAATTCATACTCTCGCATCCGTTACATTGATAGAGCATTCCTATCTTATTGGAATTCTCTTTGCACTTATCATGACTTGTGAAGACCTTGACAAATACTCTTATATAAAAATCAACACTTATAGATAATAATGGTACTATGTACCGTCCGTAACGTCCTGCATAGGACGCGATGCATTGCAGTAATATTCTCAATGCTATCTCATGGCAAGATTTCGACTTTATGGATATTGCTCCATATTTATAGTAACAAGTTTCCGGAACATTGCCAGCCAGAATAGCCACATCAGTAGCAGTAACCAGAAGTATGCCACCATCGGACACACACTGCACCGCTCCATCCAGGTACATCGAGGGACAACCATAAGGATCTAAATCGACCGCGTCGAAGCGATTTCTTCTGCGTTGATACATCAACAACGTCGCATCCTCATGATATGGAATTACCAAATTTTCAACTCCGTTATGTAAAACATTCTGCCTGATGCTATCTACCGCCTTCGCAGAAATGTCATTCGCAACAATCTGCTGGACACCCTCCACTTCCTTGGCATATCGTATGCTACGCAAACCAGTCGCAGATAAAGCTTCCAATATAGTAATTCCCCTCTGGTTTTCTGCATTATGTGATACACTGATTTTATCGTCTTTCTCTAATTTGTTTCTCCGCAGCACTTCTTCGTTATAGTCCTTGGCAAATATCATTAGTACCGCTATACTGAGATCCCTATTAAATTCTTGAACTGGATTATAAAACACCTTTTCATTCGTTACCAATATCTGTGCTTTTCCCTCGTTTACAGTGGGAATCTCTTCAAGTTTCGACTTCTTTGGGCATTGCTCAGTATCCATACTTGCATATGCAACACTAAAATGAATATGTGTTTGTGTCATATGTACATATAAACATTTTAAAAGATTATATCAAACAATAAGCTAAATTTTCATTTAAAAAAAAAGTAAAAGAAGTCACTGACTTATCAAATTACCCATGCATTCGTTAAGAAATACATTAAAAAATATATAAAATTTATATATAATTTACCGTTTACCATTTCAAGCAGTTTTCATGACGAAAGGTTAAATACTGGTCAATTATAGATTACAGCTCGTTTAATCGTAATCCGTAATTAGTCAGTTTTTAATCTTCATATTTCAAAAATTACTGATTAGAACGATAAATGACAAATACTTTTGTAACTGATTTTTTTCGAGAACATTCGTGCTATTGTATTTTTATTTGGAATATTCTGTATAAAGATATCACATAATAGTCAATACAAAATTATACCTCAATTTACTGTTAATTTCATAAAGTCATATTAAAGCTTACAATACTTAGGAATACTCGGTGTTATATTTACACAGTTTCTTGCTTCAATTATTCAAATGTCTATTTGTAATAATGAAAGAAAAATCATATATATTTCCCCAGTGACAATATAACCTATTCTAATGAAGTTTGTGATTGTACAGCAACATTTCTTCGACAAAAAGGTGAAGCTGTAAGCCAAACAGATGGTAAACGTTATCGAATATCGGTAAAAAAAATCGATTAATTAGATGTGAGGTCGATAATTTTCTCATAAGGTAAAATACTAGTTAAACTACGCTGGTGCACATTAAAGGTGTCGTACACAACTTAAAAAATGTGTATTTAATATAAATATAAAAACAGATTAAACTATGAAATTCTCAATATATGTATTTATTATGCTATTAAGAATATTAAGTAAAATCTATATTTTATAATTTGAAATACTTACATTTCACTATTACACAAATTAAGTCAGTGTACAATGACTTTAATATATATTAGTTTGTATTAGTGCGTACAACGCTATTACATATGTATATATTATATCAGGACAAAGTAAATTGAAAAGATACACGTGAATAAAAAAGGCATTGCTTTAACATTTATTTACGTGATATTCGTACACAAACAATCACTTATTTCTATTTGAATTCTTATATCTACAGTTCAAAACAGTACTGTGTGTTTGCCGCTATTCAGCTAAACTAGAATAAATACATTGTAGCCTATCTTCTGGGAATATTATGGAACTATGTCTGTTGCTGGGAAAACGCGACAATTTCTGTCTATCTCTTTAGATTACCATGGACCTTTTTCAAAATCTAATGAACAACAAAGATAAGTGATTATTAGATTAAAGAAATTTTATACACTTTACAGTTTTCATTTGCGAAAGATTTCCTAATTTTTAGTATTGGCCCAAAGTAGATTAACTACTCTTAATCTATTTTTGGAAACCTCTCCAAATAGTTCCATAACAGCTTCCCTAATGTCTTCAAATTAAAAAAATATGTTCACACGCACACACCATTCTTAAAAACTCAGCCTTGATCGCGACAAACGAATTATCATTAATATGTTAAATACTTTTAAATCATATCAAGTTTTTCTCCAAAATTAATTCATAGAACTTCAAACTGCTCTAACTTTGAATGAATTGTGTATAATTTAATATATTTCGATATAACAGAATTTAATTTAATAAATTTATGAATATGACAAATGTCTACAGAGTGCGATCTATTTAGTGCTATCAATGTTTTGACATATTTGATTGATTAATTGAAAGAATTTTACTAACTGACCAATCAAAAAATACTTCAAAATATCATCAAATGTAGCATCAAATGTAATATCAAATGTAGCATTAAATGGATTATAACTTATAGTTAAAATAAGGTAACATTATTATTAGATTTATATTCTTTCACAAATTCTATTAATTATTAAAGATACGTACTACTTAACGTTTGCAACGCTCGTAAGCATCAATTTCATTCTTGTTGTCATCAAATGTTAAATGGAACATATCCTAAAATTATCTTTATCAGAAAACTTACTTTGCGTTTGTACAGCAGTAAATATTCATTATCAAGAAAAATATCAAATATCTTTCTTGATGACGCAACAAGATGCAACTGTAAAACAGTTCTTGTGTTTATGATATCAAAAAACAATTTTAAGTGCCGAATTTCGAATGTATATCATTTGTTGGCGGTCTAAAGATTATTTCTACTGATACTTACATTGGAAATAAATTCAATGAGTAGCAAATTATTATTTCTGTAAAAAAAAACACTGAATTTTTATACAGCAGCAAATATTTTTTCTACATTATTGAGAATTAAATATCAACATTTTTTAGTTTTATCAGAATTTAAATTAGTCTGATTATCATAAAAAAACAGATACTCGCACTTTTCACGCTATGTCCTTTTCCTGCATCGGTTTCTTGCAAAGAGAAGCAGTCTCCTCTTCGTCCTCTGCTTTGCGCTTTTTCCTTACCAGATGCGATATATCGCTGGCAGGTTTCGACTTACTACTACCACTTCCAGAAGCCTCATTCGTTTCACCATCACTAGAACATCCATTCAGTCTCTCTTCCTTAATCTCTTTGAGCACATTAGCTTCTTTCTTCAGATCATTGATGTCTGCGATTTTTTCTTGAATCTCTGGAACAAGTTCCTGCAGCTCCTTGATCTCCCCTTCAATGGTATAGAATGGATCATCAGATTGGGGTGGATCATCTTGCAAAGTCTTCAAATGCACAATCTTTGCTTCCAACAGCGCAGACGCCTGGTTGAATTGTTCAATGCTAATGTCAAAGTTGTTTGCCATCGCGTGCGCCAACCCGAGCTGATAATGGATCTCGGCGATCGCACGATGGTCACGTGGAATCATTTTCTCCAGAAGATTCAAACAGGCCTTGAAATCGATCAGCGCACTCTCATGATTGCTACCCTCCATCGCAACCTCGCCCAGAAGACGGTAAGCCTCAGCCAAAAACTTCCAGCCTGGAGGTCCACGTTTTACTAGCACCAATTTCGCTAGTTCTAAGACTTCCCATGCAATCTAGAAATCGAAATTAGACATTAGAATCATAACTGATTCAATATTTATCAATAGATTACGTTCAATTAACAATTACACTTGGATAACTCAATTCGGCAACAAGCAAAAGTATTCGATACAACGTAATTGAGTCTTCTAACACGTAATTAGATAAATCTAGATAACACGTAATGTAGATAAGGCACCTGTAGATTGTTGATTTCGTCCTCGTCATTTTCCTTTTCAACATCCTCTTCTTCCGCCTCTTCATCCTCGTCTTCTTTTTTTCTGTTCATGCCACTACCAGAAGCTTCGCCATTATGCAAGTCAAAATCTCGACTACAGCCAGGAATTTCTTCTCTTTGCTTGTTCTGTTCTCCAATCTTATTATCCACCGTTTTATTAAACTCTTCCTTCTTTTCATCCTTTTCGAGTTCTTCAGATTCTTCAACTTTCGTGTCTTTTAAGTCCTTTGGCTCTTCATCCTCTTTCTCCTCATCCTTTGTCTCTTGCTTATCATCCTCTTTGCCGTTTGATGTGCAAGAGCTACTTTCCGTATGATTGCCTTCGGTTACAGCTCCCTCCTCATTTTCCTCCTCCTCATCTTCACCTTGCTCATCCTGACTGACTTCTTCGGATCCAGGTACACCACCGCCTAATACTCCCGCCTCTTCACGTGCCAGACCCAAAAGAGCTCGTCCGTAAAGTAGGTAGAGTTCACCCATCTCGTCGCCGGTCTCTCCATGCTCCTGAGCAAGAAGCTCGCACGCACGAGCTAAGACGGTTACTGCGAGATGATAATCGCGTACCAGGAGGTGGCGTTTACCCTGAGAGATTGCTGTCGCGGCATCCTTGATCGGCACTTCCTCCGACACGTCGGCCATCTAAGAAACAAGAACAAGAGAATACTTATATAGTATCATATAAGTTGCATATATATTTTGAAAACGTCAACAAAAGTAAACAATCTTAACAATGTACGTAAACTATATTGGTAAAATCAACCAAGTAAAATCAATCAACTGACGATAGAGAACGTTTCGCTTGGAATAGGAAATATAAGTAACCAGAAAATTTCTATTAAGCTATGATCTTTTCACAACATTAGAAGGCAAAAACTAAATTTAACGAATTTTCGTACTTCTTAATATTGTGTCTGATTCAAATAAGATGTATATGCAGCATTAGGCTCACATCAGATTACGCATAAATATTTCTAGACTAGATAAGTTGAGAGAGAGAGAGAGAGAGAGAGAGAGAGAGAGAGAGAGAGAGAGAATATGTTAACGAACGTGCATATATAGATGCAAACAAGCATCTTTTCTCTCAGAAAGAGATAAACATTAATTGTAGTGAGTTGAAATTAAAATTCATTTTATCTACAAATTTAATTACTTCGATCTTTAATCTACGATGACTTATAAGGAAATCTTATGGTGGTATTCATAATCCGTTCTTACTTTAAGACCGTCTTAAGTACGTCTTAAGACACTAATATGGCTCTCTTCTGCTTTGTTCATAACATCTTAAGACTGTACCTAAGACGGTAAATATAAAATCCGACTGTGAATATACCGCCCTTAATCTCCAATGTTTAGCACGACGCCGACGCGAGCTTTATTCGCACATGCAATTGTTTTAGAAGATGCAGAAGGGGTGAGTGGGTGTTAAGGTGGACATCCGCAGCATCCATGGGTGGGAAAGGAGAGAAATCGGGTGGCTGTCCATGTGGGTCGATTCGTCGTGGCGCTTCAACGTGGAAGGGCGGAGGGCGTCCGCGTCGCGAGGATGCCGGGGAGAGAAAGCGAGAAAGAGCAGGTTCCAAGGGCGTACGTCGGCCAGTAACGAGTCGGGGAACGCGAGCGCCGCGTTGCAGGCGTCGCCCTGGGCGCCGCCGTCCAAGAACAGATGGAGTCGACCCGCGTGCCCCGGGGCCCCGCTTCGCGCCTCGTCTTTCTCTTCGTCACCCTCGTGCTGACCGTCGCAGGTAAAGAGACGAGAAGACCGGCACCGCGTCCCGGAAGAGACTGACGTCTCGACTCGTGAAAAGTGTAAAGATCAACATAGTCTCTCTATTGATATATATATTTTTTGAAAAAACTAGTACGAAAAATGTATCTCACCAAAAAGTTGAGAACAAAACTGTTCTAAACTGTTCAGCTTCGATATGATTTCCAAGAAAGATTTCCTGTTCAACCCTTCCGCCTCCTTTTTAGAGAGAAAACTTTTATTATAGACCGGGACCTAGTAGAAAAATAAGCAATTCAATAATTACATCTTCCTTTTTCATTTCTCAGCAACGGGGCTCCTATGCAGTGCAATAATGTCGGATCACTGGGAAGAAATCAACTGGGACAGGGAAGATCTGATCCATGCGAACGTTAATCTCACGTGGTATCTGAACGATCAAGTGGCAAAGCTCGAGTCTTCCGTTAATCATCGAAATAAACACCGTGTCGCCAAAAGTTCAACCTTCTTAGTTCCTATGCACGGCGGTATTTGGATTATGTGTGTTTCATTATCAGGTATAAATTGTCGTGATTTTTATAATGTTAAACTTATTAGACCTAGAACTGCATGTACATCTTTTGTACACGCTTCAGGATTTAAATATATTATATTTTCACGACAATATATATATATATATATTGAATGCGGATCCTAATGTTTCCAACTTATTCCATGGCGTATTAAACTTACAAATTATCATTGCGGATGTTTTTAGTTGTGGCAATTTCAATCGTGATATTAAAACTAATAAATGCTAAATATTGATACTAATAAAAACCTAATAATATTATTGTTAAATACACCGATGATAATAATGAGAAGATGATTGATGGAAAGAAATGCAAATTAAAAGAAATTTTCTTTACAAAGATAATTAAAAATTATTTGCAATCATTTATGGATGCAACGTTAAGTCATGCCATTCTTTCTAACATCCAGATCTTATTATGATATGGATACAACCAACGTTTCGTATTTTCTCGTTCATGCCAATAGAAACATTATCGGTCTTATAAATCGGCATTAGAATGAAGTTTGGATCTATATATATAATAAGTATGATAGTATTGCTCAATTCACAAAAGCAAAGATCACGGTCACGCAATCGTAAGGATACTGTGCTTAAATTGTGCGATTCGACAGTTCGATATCTCTGATCAGAGTCAAGGTGGTATCTAAATATAGTGACGTACACGTGCGATATAGACAAGGTAATATCTGACAAAATTCCAACGTAAGATATTTATTGCATTTCCACGAAACACGATAAGTATTATGTCTTCGTTAATTTTTCTTTAAAAATATTCTTCATTAAAGTATAATAAAAACTCACTTCAAATAGATCAATAAGTCCGTAAATAAAATATAGTAGAACTGGAAAATACTCAATATATCTAGAAGTACGATTGATAGAAAGTGCCCATTTAATGAAACGTTAAAGGATTTACGGTGCCTAATGCAACTACATGTGTTCATATACTTTTCGTTTAATCGAACGAGTGCAACCTTGAAGAGTACTTGAAGAATTCGAGGTCGTAAATGTCTCATTTAGTTATTTTTGTCGGAATTACATTCATAGGATCTGAACACGCTAAGCACTGCCTAGTACTGCCTGCACCACCCTTGCGCATGACATTTATATCCAGCCAAGGTATTAAAATTTTCTATAGTCAAATCTATTAAATCAAAGGATATATCAAAAGTATAATGCACATGGTATTTGTGATATGGCAATTTAATTTCTCTCAATCGAAAGATAATGTTTAAAGACGGAATCTGGAGAGAAGAGCCAAAAAATTTTAATAGCATTTAAATAGCATTTAAATTAAAAAATTCAAATTCTGTTTTCTGGCGATGATTTTGAACGATTTCAAAAGTAACATAGTATAGTTTTCTATATAATTGTATTTATTTGAATGGAAAGAAACAAAGATTAAATTATCAACGAATCATGCTTGTTGTTCTAGAGGAAGAGATACAACTGTTAAATCAGGTGGATTTCCCGCAAAAAAGATGTGTCAATTACTTAACACCAAGTGAGGCGCACGTAGAGGCGCGCGGAGCTTGGCAAAATCGTAAGTAAATTGTAAATAACATTTAATTAAAGCGCAACAAATTTTATTCTATAATAAACTATTTTATTCTTCAATAAAATATTTCCTATGAATATTTATCATGAATTTCACAAATTGATCATTTTAATAATCTGCTTCAGGAATGCAAAATCTGAGTATCTCGTGCTCTCTGGTGTGTCTAATCATCCTAGGATGCGCTGCACTTATAGGATTTTTTGGACTATGCAGGCATCAGATATCGGCCGTACTCGTGACAGGAGTGATGTACCTCCTTGCAGGTAAAATATCTACTAATAACTTGATAAACTAGTCTAGACCATAATTTTAAATATGATGTTGGAATAAAGGAAAATATATCTATGAACTTAATTGCCATGTATATATGGCGCAGCCATTAAAATATTAAACAATAGTGATTAAGTTGGGAATCACTCTATTTTATTCTAGCAACATTCGCGCTGTTCACACTCACAATCATTCACTTCAAGAGGGTTCAAGATCGCGGGACCAAATCAATAGAAGATGGCGTGATCGGTATGCCTGTCCTTCGCAGCATTCTCAAGGCTAGGAGAGTCAGTACCGCGTGGAGTATGGATCTGGGATGGGGTGGAGTCACTCTCTGTGCTCTTGCATCGGTAGCCTGGATCCTTCTCAGTAAAATCATGCGTTTCAGTCCAATCGCTGCCATGATAGCGTAGCAGTGGGACGCCTTCGAGGTCTAAGGTCGTTTCTGAGAGTTTCGATGTTTTATGATTTCGATGTTATGCGTTCCTTTCAAGTGACATCTTGACATTTTTCTCGAGTATCAAGTTGGTGCAAGAGATTTATTTCACAATCGAGTTGTGCTGTAATCTTCTACAAGACACGACAAATGCTTTTCAAAACTACACAATTTCGTCTTCAATTTTACTTGACAAATATAACAAACTGCATCAACTTAATAATCTCGAGTGTTTATGTCCTGTTAAAATATAGATTTCAAGAGTATGAAATTCCAAGATTTGGGCTAATCATATAGGAATTGAAATCTTCTGAAACCTTGAAAAAGATTGCAAACTGCAATGGAGAATAATAAAATAATATTCTTGAGAAAGAATTCAGAAATGACCCTCTCGAAGGCGATCGTGTCATGTGCCTATTTTATATAATTGATATCGTTTGCATAAATATTCGCTATCTCAATTGAAAAAACTTGAATTTGTTAAGATAAAAAGTTTTAAAGCGCATCTGATTAATCAACGCTTTGTAGAATCAGTGAATGTGTTTGAAAATTTATATTCTTCCGCATTCGATTTATTTACTGCAAGTAAACAAACTCGCTAAGAAAATATAGCCCAAGACACAATTGAAAAGCAAAGACAATAGAAACAGGTAATAATAGAGTTCAATCAGAATTCCATGTATTCTTATATACATTCATTCCTGATAACCCTGATAAATTGAAATCTGTTATTCGCTGTTTCTATTACCTGCTTCTATTACCTTTTCAATTATGTCTCAAGCTTACAAGACAAACGAACAAGCCTATATGTACTCATGATATAAAAAAACAAAATGTCATGATATAAGAAGACAAATGTTATCCCTCATTTTTTTCGGCTGATATTCTTGTCGATGCAAGTAACCCTCACAAAGATACAATCGGAGCATAAGCTGAATGTAAAAGAAGAGTAAAGCCGGAAACACAATGAAAAGCACAGGCAATAGAAACAGGGAATAAGAGATTTCAACCTATCAGAAAGCGTTCATTCTTGTATACATGGTTTCTGATAGGTTGAAATTTGTTATCTCCTGTTCTT